TAATTTTTTTGATATACGGGGCACTTGTGTCATTAGGCCACTGAGGACCGTGATATTCAGTCAATGTCCACGAGATATGCAATGAAATAGTCAATTCTTTGTAAAAGTGTCGTGGTCGAGTGGATATGTCACCGGACTGTGGATCACAAGGTCCGCGGTTCGAGTCTCGCTGCGGCACTAATGTCGACTCGACCCAGGTGAGGTAAATGGGTACCTGGCAGGAATTAATTTCTTAAAATGCTAGAGCGCCATAATGGCAGCTAGGCTAAAGCCGGGGTATCAATTTCCAAAAATGTGAACCGAATATTAATATTATTGTTATTTCCCCCCCCCCCCAAAAAAAAAAAATTGAGAAGGATACACTCGTTTTTATATGTGTTGTGGTATCATTGCTTTTCTTACAGATCAGAGCTATCTGTTTCCCATTTCAATAGTAGTTTTCGGGGCCGGCCTACCGACTATCATTGCCTGTTACTACCTCTGGAGAAAGTAAGTCTTGCTCACAACACACTTTGAAAGAAAAAAAAACCGTAATTAAACAACAACTCATATGCAGTTTATATAACTGAGCAAAAATTGAAAGTAAACTTAAAGTACATAAACATAAGTTATAAGTCAATTGTACATATTATTCATTTATAATAACAAAAAAGAAAACAACAAAAAACCGGAGGTTATTTTACTGGTACTCCCAGATCCCCCTCCCTCACACAAACACACACACACCCACAAAACACACACACACACCCACAAAACACACCACATTCATACACACAAGCATACAAAACCCACACCCTAAAACACATCTTATCACACACCACAACAAAAGTTGCCACGCTGTGAACATTTGCACATCTTATATTCCAACAGCTCACAAACAAACATACACACACACACACGCACACATTTTCGCAAACGCAAACATATCTACATAGGTCAAGCACTATTTTGGAATGAATATGCAGTACCTTTGTATTCATGTTGTTGTTTTTCTCTCGATATCATAATGGCTGCTTTTGAGATTTTAGAAAGGAAGTTAATCAATATTTATCTGTTAATAATAGATCATGATACAAATCCACTGAGACAGTTAATGAAATATTTTTAGACTGTAGCTTAAATATGTTCTAAGTTCTAATGCACGTATAATTTGGTTTTATGTAACGATGACTAGCAAGGAAAGATGCATACTTTGGAGAATTTTAGCTTGTTGAGTTATAAAATATATAGGAGTAATTTGATGATGTCTTTAACGGGCTCATAAGTTTAAGGCTATCAGTTTGTTGAGTTAAATCTTTCTTTAATTCTTTTACCATTGGGTTTTAAGTAAATACGTATTTCAAGAGAATACATGCATTGTTGAAAATCGGATAAAACTTAAATATTTGAAGGAACAATGTTAGAAAGATTTTTTTTAAAGTAACATGTAAAATACCTGCTACCTTGCCTTTAACCCCTTGCAGACCACGCCAACATTATGATGTTCTCTGTAAGCGATCCTCTAGCCGGAGAGGGAGGAACAAAGTCCAGACTCTACCGCTAAGCCGTCTGGTGTCAGATTTATAAAGAACTCAGCTTGATTCTGAATATTAAGGGGAATAGATCAAATATTCAGCATTCACATGCTTTGTACAGCACTTATTTAGTAATAAGCGACCGAGATACTATTGTTGGTTTTATTTGATGGATTTCCGAAAACTTATTTTGACAACATGAATTGCCAGTTCATACATTGAATTAAAACAAAACTTACATACCGCAGTTACACACAGTAATTGCAGTTTAGATTGTTTATTCAGGCAAAAATGCACTGAATACAAATGACAAAGAATCCACGGCCCCTCGAATTAGAACGCTTATAAACACCTGTATAAAGCGCCCTATACATGTAATTATTATTAGAACGAGCCATAACATGTACATTTCCCGAATGAATGAATGAACATTTTTATTGATACACATGTATATTTTGTATACATAATCGTGCAAAATAGAGCTAAACATGAAGTGAAATGAAAGTGATATATTTTATACTTGGTATTGAGGCCCTTACCTTTTACTTGAAAACACTGCCTCGACAATAATTGATGTACATAAGTTCAGTATCTTTATTGTTTTCAATTGAAAGTCTGCTTATCAAATATTTGGTTTTCATCTTTCTACTTGTTGTCTATACGTATATTTCACGGCTTGGAATTTTTCATCAAAGTGTCTTAATTTGTTTTCTTCACAATCATCTTAATTGTACCCTTGTGGAATATTGGGATCTCATTTCAGTTTAAAGGTAAATAATATGAATAGAATTTTAGGGTAGGCCTATATATTTAGAAATGTCAAGTTACAAATGTAATCATACTGGAATCCGTATATGAATAGCTGAAATGGAAAAATGTACTAAAATGTTACTAGAATCAAATCATATAACTTGTGAAGATTTAATACTAGGGTGATCATACTGCCTGTACAAACAGTCTGCCCTACGAACACACATACACACACAACAGCAGTCAGTTGGTAGAAATATAATTTTTTTTGTAAATTTATTTTAAAAAAAACTAAACAATATTTTTATTTCACATATTTTTCAAGCATACCTTTAACTACAATTCTGTGTAGTTTCATTGTTTTAGGCATGTGGGAAATATGTTAAATTATTTAATTAGAATATTTTCTTTTCAGCCATGTGTGACATGGCCCGCTGATCGCCCATTGACTCGCACTGCTATTCTGCGTGGTGAAAATGCACCTCAATGTATAAAACTTCCCTACAAGAAAGGCAATATCCTCATGTGTTTCACTCATTGAATCATTTTTTCATTTACACTCTAGGTAGCAACAACTGTACTTGGGTTACCAAACTTTTTGTTACTCTGAAATTCAGTCCCTGTGGAATGTTATGGCCTGTTGAATGGTTTCTCGGAAAATCATCATAAATCCTCAAATCTGACATCTTTTAAAAAGCCAAATATACTGTGATGTAGCTGAAAGTCTGCAAATTCTTATCATATCATCGGTTTTTCTGTATAATTTGTGAAACACATGAGGAAATAGCTGTGACGGTGATCCAAGTAATTTCCATCGCCATATTTAATTGGCATTGCAAAAATATTTGGAATTTAATGTTAATATTTGGTGTAAATATGATCTATGAATATATGATTTAAAAAATGCCAACAAAATGAACAGTTTGACTTTCTTAATTTGCATAATGAGAGCGCGAATATTTAATTAGCTGAAATGACCTAATTTGCATATTTGATGAAAATTCATGATTTTTTTTAAAATTTCAAATGAAATATATTTCCATACCTGTCTGATACAAATAGGTTTCACTGATGTACCATGTTCGGTTTTGATTTGATTACATATGCGCATATTAATTAGGCGGACTTAGTTATTTTTACAACTTTTTCATATCTGCAGATTCGCAAAAATGGCAAAAATTACTTATTTTGTTGGCTTCTGTTTTCAAAACGGTAATAGATATATGAATTTTCTTTTATTGTATTTTTTACCACAAAGATGATCGATATTTGAGTGTCTGATAATTTATTTTATTATTTGTCTCGAAGAAAGTGATCAATTAAGTTGTCAACTTTGTCGAAGTTTGCCAGTTTTGCCAATTTGACCATTTCTGGCAGGTTTTTCGGTAATTTTGCGATATAAAAAAAATGGTATAAAATCACAACGCATTGACCGATTTTAATTTTGTTTTTTGTATTTTGAAGCTTTCATAAAGCTTGATCATTTGCAACTATCAAATAACATGTGTTTGTGGTACTTATTTTTTTGTGTGCTATACCTATTAATACTGCATTTGATTTGATTAAACAAAGAAGTTAGAAGTAATGCATAGAAGACCGCACTGCCAACGGATCTCCATTTTTTCATTCAGATATTCCTACCTATCACGATATGCAACAATAATTGTGCAACAAGTTCGTTGTAAAGACGCTTTCCTACCCTACATTCTCCCACACCCAAAACACGTCCACACAGACATACAATATCAGATGTAACACACAACCGTCACACTCATCACATTTCCACACACTCGTCACACTCCACACAAAAATTAAACACCCACTCAACCCACTCATACACAACCATCACACTCATCACATTCCCACACAAACATTAAACCCCCAACCCACTCATACACAACCATCACACTCCTACAAACCGTCACACATTCACCGCACACCCTCAAAACCATAACACTCCCTCACAACCATTACACACCCACCAAACTATGGTTTGTATCCGTTTGGTTTACTACTAGTTCGTAATATGAAACCCAGTTGGTCTATTCCCCCTATTGTCTACACCGGCCTAGCCAGTCTACTATCCAAATGGTCAAATAATCATTCCATCTACTTATCATTTGGTCTATGACCATTTATGCTGATAGTCATTTGGTCTTATTGCCAGTCGGTCTATATTCCTCTCTCGTCTACCATCCATTATGGTCTATAGTCATTTGGTGATTATCATTATTTGTGATTAAATGATAATTAGACAACATGGATAGTAGCCGAAATGGGCATTAGACCAACTGGGAATTAGACCGACTAGAAATTAGACCAAATGGGTAGTATAGTAAACCTATTGGAGATTAGACCAAATGGAAACTAGACCAAATGACTATTAGCCTAAATTCATGGTCATTAGACGAAATGATAATTAGACGAAATGAGTATGAGACAATGTGGACATTAGACGGGCTGGGTGTAGACCAAACAGCAACTTGCCCAAACCGTACACTCCCACAAGCCATCACACAACCGGACATCCATCACACTCCCACACTACTATCACACACCCACACGGTGTGCAATGAGTTTGTGGTATAGACGTACGCCTACCCTACAGACTTCAAACATCAAAAACCATAAAAAACATGCCCACATACCAACCCTCACAACCATAACACGCCCACATACCCAACACACACACACAATCAACCCACACGCTGAAAGTATGCTCATGTCAGGCAAATGTGTAGCAAATTTGCATTGTTCTATTTATTCCAACATATGAAACATAATCATCAATTAAGATTTCTGTTTTCTTCCCAACAAAAACAAACATACATGTACAATGTAGAACAGTGACGACTGATCATGTCCTTTTGAAAATAACCGTAATGTCCTTGCTCCGAAAGGACAGGCACTAACAGAAAAAAAAATGTAAAATAGAGCAATTTGATTGGTGAGGGGTCATTTACAGGTGAAATGTTGTGGATTGCTTTAAGCTTTAAAGTCCTAATTCAATAGAAACTAGTCCCAATTAATGAAAATGCATTTTGGAACAGATTGTTATTTGGGATAGTTGATCATGTAAAATAAGTTATTAGCCTACCATGAGAGTTGTAAGCTCAAAACCACTATCAAGTCTCCAAAATTTGTTTGTTGTAGTTGATTGATAATTCCGAGTTTATAAGCTTTTTAGTCTCATTATCAAAAAAATAATCACTCCCCCATTCTGCAAATCGACATTTCCATCAGGCTGCCTGGCCAGAAATCTCCAAATTTCGTCATGAATCCTTGTGTGTATTTTAAGAGAACAAATGACATTTATTTGTAATCTTGAACATTCAGTGTAATTTTCGTTTGATTCTGTGAGAATTAGTTTTTTTTTTTTTTTTACCAGAACTCACCTTTATCTTATCTACAACAAGGTATGGCGGTGGCCATTGCAGACGAGTATGGGTTCTGATCCGAAGATATATTTTACCAAAAGAAAAACCTCTTCCTCATTAATGCGATTGGCCAAATTGCAAAGAATGACCTTCAGGCAATTCCAATAGCCTTGTCCATCAGCCTTCAAAATTTGCAAAAAATGACTTATTAGGCTATCCAAACATGATGGGATATAGAATACTTGGTAGTCCTAATTAGTCTCTTTAGAAAATTGTTAAAAATCTTTGGAATTGTTTTGTTTGAACCCTTTCAGTGCCAAGGCAAATTTAGGCATAATTTTAGAGATGAGAATAATAGATCGACCCGACTCATTTCTTGATGTATTCATTACAGATAAAGATCCTACGAGACTTAAAGTTCAAGTTGCTCAAGCGTGGGTATATAGACGGCAGCACACGGACATATGCACTGGAGCGTAATACTCGGTGGCTCAGTGTTATGTAGTGATCACCAAGTTGCCTACTTCACGAATGAACATTTTTAAAGGCCGAGTATTCTACCTCTCACTGCTGTAATATTTTTTCAATTACGCCATGTTTCGATGAAGGCGTACATAGAGCGACTTCCTGTTCCGTGACCGAAGCATCATCATGCGTGCCTCATGCAGTTGGTGATGCATTATGGGACGTCACATGGCTGTCGACAAGTCGAGACATTGTGAGCAGCAGATGGCAGTGTTCGTAAATCTAGTGTAACGTCAGCAGCATACCACGTCTTTAACTTTAATTTTTTAGCCAACATAGAATACACTGGATGTACAGAGGAAACTTGTTTAAAGCCCCACTGTCCTACTTGTAGCTACTTGCTCCCTCTATATAGAAAACTTCCCCAATCGGTGCCTGTTGGTCCCCCATGATCCTCTTTTTCTTATGTTAGTTCAGAGCTGAGTTAATGAGATAGCCACCTGTCAGTGACCTCGCTGTGTGGTCTAATCCCTTCTGGCCCAGTAGTATTGACTGTCTTTAATATAAAGAACTCTGATATTGAGAAGCCTCATAAACCAAGTTAATTTTGCTGGTTCCAACACTTTATATTCTTTAAAAAAAAAAGTTAATCCTGATATAACTACCGGTAGATAATTTTCTAGGTCCAAATGTACCGATCATAATGAGTTCCCACTGTATTGGAATATTTCTCAGCCCAACAGATAACGAGAACAACAATTTGTAACATGTGTCGGGAAGATAAAAAGAACCCGGACAGCACAAAGCATTTCAACAAATAACACCACATCATCAATTGAATATAAAAATAGGTTTACGTGGCTGTCTTTTCAGCAAATAAAAATCACTGGAAAAATTAGTACCACTATATTTGAACACCGGTAAAGCTGCTTTTATCTATCAACTGAAAAAATATACATGTACATGTGTATGTGTGCTTGCACTTTATACACGTGTGCTGTATACGACTCGTATCGATGATCAATTTTGAAGTTCTCAAATCGAATTACTTTCAGCAATTTTCGATTGCATAATACATCTTACAAAATGTGAAAACGTTTGTACAAATTGAAGGTAGGAACAAGGACTGACAATTTCTGAGGAATTCAACATTATTGAAACTTACAAACAATTGACCATTAATTAGGCCTTATTACAATGAACTTCTTAAAGTTCTTGAAACAGATGTCATAATTACTCTCTTAATGTCTACAATATACAGAGAGGAATAACTGAAACTCATGTACATGCAGATCAAGAAAAATATCTTTTTTGTCTTCCTTCAGATCATTATCGTGACATTTAATTACAAAATGATTTAATTCAATCTTTGGAAGATTCAATCTATTTTCTCTGTCAGGGACAACTAAGGTCCCCATTTCACAGTTGTGATATAAAACAGTTGACATACTGTATATTCGAACCATAGGCTACAGAATGGAATGCATTATCAGAAACAGGAGCCTGGCAACACGGAACTTACACAAAACGCAGGTCACAACACGCAAGAAAAATTGTATCATCGTCTACTTGAACGGTGATCCGACATTTGTTCTGGCGACATTTGTCAAAGAAAATGGTGTTAGGGTTTGGGATTCAAGCGAGATATGGGTTAGGTTGAGTGAACTCCTAGAATAATTTGAAGACCACATACATATACGATCAGGAAGCATAGTATATATACAAAACTAAAGACTGTGGACTTGATTGTCACTACTAAAGCTATGCCATTGCAGCACTGTCCACAAGAAAGAGGATTACAAGCACCTTTGATTCATTCCTTTGGTGAAGAATGTGAGAAACTATCAAGAAAGAGTTCCTCACTTGAGCAGCATGACAGAAACTGTATCTGTCGTGAGCATTCAGAGACTTCAAAACCTTGATCCTGCATTCCCGTATTAATCATATATATTAATCATATATTTGATTATATTGTAGTATAACTAGTCCAGTAATTTAGTAAGATGTAGAGGGCGTTGTAACTGATTGTGAGAAGATACATGTACATCGTAAGATGTCAGTCAGTCAATGTTGACCTGTCGTTGCGACAGGTACAAGAAACGAGATGGAGTCACCTGAACTGCAAATACTCTGCAAGTGTTATTTTTTTAGTCCTGTCATACATTCAGTGGTTGCGGGCGGGAGTGAGTGAATGAGAGCTAGTCCACGTTTTTCTTTCACGATATACTTTTCTGAGAGCCCACTGTGAGATCGTTGATGAATGATTGTCGAGAGCGTGGACCGGGTTTTGAGAGACTGCAAGGCAGAACGCTACCCCGGCAGAGCCCGGTTACGCCAGAATATTTTGACTTGGCACGTTCTTTTCAGGTAGTCACTTGTGAACGCCGCATATTTCTGGTACCATGACAGAGGAGGTACGACATAATAATAAAGATTGAACGAAGAGAAAACCTTTCAAGTATCACAACTAAGTGTGGAGGTGGAAATACCAGGCAGAAAAGTTGTTGTTGCTGTGATATATAGGTACCTAGTCATCATGAGCAAATAATGATTTGAGAAAGAGAATGAGAATAGACTGGTAGAAGCACTCCACAACTCTGTAGACGTGCGCCCCCCAATGTCCAGTTGTAGGATATCTTTGCTGGTGTGTACTTAATAGGGTGAATACAGACTTGTGAGAAAAGACAGGTGACAGTTCATGTGACAGTCCAGGGGGGTGCTTCACAAAACTTGTCATCCGTGACAAATGACAGGCTTTGTTATAAGCTACTGAAATCCTTGCTTCTAATTGGTTATCAGTAGATTTGTCACTCTGTTTTGTCAATTGTCATTGAAAAAAGGCTTCGTGAAACACCCCCAGGGCTTTGGAAAAGATGGTTACACTGGTCAGAAGTCAGAAGTCCACTCTAGCATCAAGTTCGTTCAAACAAAAGCATGAAAATGAGAAATAAAATAAATAGGGGATTTTTTAAAAGGCATGAAAGTTATGAATTTTGCAAGTTGTTATTGATCAAGCGCATATTGGCAATATACTTTGACATACAGTGTACATGTCCTTTCTACGCACCTCTCCCCCATGTTCTGCACGAGGAAATTCAAATTAATTTCAATTTGATTTAAAATGAGATATCGTTTTCCTTATACCCCTGCCCTAGAGATATGACTGGACACATGTTTTTTTACAACAGGCTCTATACAAAAAGATTAATTTAATTCATCAACAATCATGGAATTGGAAATTTATGGACTTACAGTACAGGGTAAAGGGAGAGGTATGTCACAAAGTTGCTAATTAGCCTGTGATTGATTGCAACTTTAAAAAATTGATAACTTTCTTATTCTGTATCGGATTTGCCCCTAAAAAAACTTCACCGATTTGATTCTCTTCTTTTTTCTGCTCTCAATAAACCAACTTATTTCACGAGTCGACTTCCACTTTCCGACAGAGGAGTAACTGCATAGGTCGAAGGTCAATGTCTTGGTTTCTTGCTGTCCGTCTCTTCCGGTTTATCCTCGGCCGATTTTCTCTTGGCGCTGACCGAAGCCCCCGAGATGGAGTCTGCGCCGTTGCTGTGGAATTGTACAATGACGCAGGTCATGTTGTCGCACCCGGTTCCGTCGCCAGATGTGTCGGGTGATAAGCAGAAATCAAAGAGCTGGGGGAAGATTGAAAGAAGGAAAAGAGATACATATAATTATAAATGGACATAAAAATATGACCGTAAAACATTTCAGATGGAGTCTGAGCCATCGTAAGGGAATTGTACAATGAATATATTGTCACACCCTGTTCCATCACCCGCCGTGTCAGGTGCTAACCAGAAGTGAAAGAGCTGGAGAAGGAGTTAAAGATACTATGTCCCTTTTGCGACCAACATCAAATTTTGTAGAACTTTGCAGGAATTCTGAATATGTCATGTATGTCCTATCTGTGAAATTTAAACGTTAGCAGTGTCCTAATTTTCAAATTATGCAAGGAAACCTGTTTTTCCAATTATCGATCAAATTATTGACCGCTGCGCCGGTAGAGTATAAAACACGCTTGCTTACATTAGTTTTTATCACCTGACAAAGTGTTGCAGCGGCGCACGAAACGTCGTGATCTTTTAGATTGACCACATTGCGAGACAAACGAATATCACTAGCGATACTATTCACGAAACCTGTTTACTTGCTAGACTTTACTGTCAGACACTATTGAGTGACTGACTGGCTTTTTTTTCTTCTTTTTTGGTAAAAAAAGCTGTAAAAGGTACATGAGCATTTGTCTACATCAATAACCCACTTCTTGTAATGGCCAAAATTAAACTGATTGAATCTTTGCGCAGCATAAAACGTATGACCAATTGGTACAATGGTCTGAAAATCAGACTATTACTTACTGGCTCTATAGCTTAAGTCGATTCGACAACTAATAGTCATCATTTTCGAGCCCCTTTTTTTTTATAGGGAAGTTCTAAATTAGTATTATCTTTCAAATGCCGTTGGAATTTAACCTTTTCATTTTTTTGGCCTGCAAATGGGACATAGTACCTTTAAGGAATGAAAAGATGTAAAATTTCACAGAAGCAAAATGGCTTTCAGCCCTCTACCAAGAACTGAGTTGGTTAAATTAATATATTGTATAGACTCAAGTCTCCAATAGTCTGAAATATTAACTACTCCTTTATTAAAGTAGCTCATGCGTGGGTATATAGAGGGCAGCACACTGAGACAACAGGTATTACGCTCTCATGTGTACTAGTGTCCCTAATATGCGTATGTCCGTACAGGAGCGTAAAACCTGTTTGCTCAGTGTTCCCTGAGTTGCCTACTTCATGAACGACTATATACCCCCGCTTGAACATCTTTTAACTCCCAAACTATTCTAAACTTCTAGGGTTGTCACGGTATAAGATTCTCATGACTTTACATAAAAAGTACTGACATAAAACTTGTAAAAGGTAATGGGGAAGACTACACCAGATGCCAAGGAACAAGGAATAGTCCAGAGGTCAACACTGTGATCAGTGAAAAAAATACATGGCGTCTCAGGGCGAAATAGCCCCCGAAATGCCCCAAAGAGCCCCCGAAAATCAGAAAAGAGCCCCTTTAAATTTGCATAGAGTTCAATGCAAAACAAATTTTAGAATGTTATTTTCATGCAGGCAAGGTTGAAAAGTAGCCCCCGAAATATAAATATTAATTTTTTCCCTGACTGTGATCTGCCTACAGCTTGACCAGGGTTAAAGGTTTGCTGTGTCAAGACGAAAACGATTATCCTGTTGATACACATCTATAAAAACCCTTGCAAATGCAAACACACAGTATGTACCAATGGGATATCTTTTAACATATGTAACGGCTGTGCCAAACTTGAATCACGTACTGGAATCCAACCGTCGGCTAATATTTGCTTGGTATTGGGACACGTATGTTAAAAACAAAACAAAATACTATAAAACTAGATGGATTTTCGAAAATGATGCCTCCGCCATAGAGCGATGTTACGAACCAAAACAGAAGCAATTTTTAAAATTCAAGTTTGATTGTAATCCATTAACAGGTTCTTAGAATATCGTGATTATAAGCTATTTTTTATTTACATGTATGACCCTTTGATCTTTGACCTCATGACCCTAAAATCTAATCAGTTCATGGGCTCTGCAAGATACATACATATCTTGAGTTTGATGGTAATCCATCTGTCGGTTCTAATGATAATGTGATCACAAGCTATTTGTGCATAATTAATGAGCCCTATGACCCCAAAGTCTAATCAGTTCACTGGCTCTGCAAGATACATACATGACCCAAGTTTAGTGGTAATCCTTACATCAGTTCTTGAGATAACGCGACCACAAGAACGGGACGTACAGACAACCTCAAAATATATTGCCTTCGGCTACTTTGTAACAGAGGCATAAAATATTATACTCACCTCTTCACAAATCTTGGAAAGTTTATTACTTTGGTCGGACTCTCTTGAATTTTCCAGTCTGTGCGTTACAAAGTCAATCACATCTTGACTGGTCATGGCATTCCTGTAATAAAGGTGATATCAGAGTAATCTACCTCAGTAATCAAAGAAGTTTATGTAATTTCACTAATAAGCCATTTTCGCAATGCGATCTAATTTCATGCACACATATTTCAGTGCCTCGTCACAAATTATTTTATTCTCCTGTTATGAAAGTATCTCAATAGTCAGGATGCGAATTGTGTACATTTATTGTTGTTAGGTAGGAGAAGCCATATTTTTCGTCTTACCGAGCAACAATTAATATATGCAGAGATGCCAACCTTCTTCAACAAACAAAAAATATTTTTAAGAGCAAAAAACAGTATTTTTGAAAAAAATTTCACCTTAAAAAATTGCCCCACCAAGCAGCTTAAAGAAAAACTTTAGTACTGGTAATGCGATTGCATTGTGAAAGAAAAGGTGTGGAAAGGATCAGAAACAGTTGATCATGTAGCATGAAAGTATTGGTGTGCACTGCAAGGTTCTGGAGTCATCATAATCATAATAAATTTGACCGAGTCTTGGTAAAGTAACAAGCAATCACATAGAAAGCTATATATGGGAAAACACACATGGTGTCGGGGCTAGTACTACCTTGATTTCCTTGATTTTCTATGCTTATTACTCAGCCAGTATACATTTTCTTCCAAAATTGTTTGGCACATGTCATTTATTTGTAATCTTGAACATTCAGTGTAAGTTTCGTTTGATTCTGTGAGAATTATTTCATTTTTTTTTACCAATACTGGAGTTTATCTTTAACCCTATTTAGCCCGGTGGGCGGCTTTAGAAGCCCCCCCTCCCGACATTTTTTCGCGACATGAATTATACATACCAGATGCCATCACATGCAACGACCATGAAGTCGTCTTGCTCTGTGAGTGTGGCGGTTTTGATATCAGGGAAGGCACTTATCATCTGTTCTTCAGGAGGTAGAGATGTCGTCATCTTATAGCAATGGTCACCTGTTGATGAGAAAGGTACAGAATGGGTACAAGAGTGCGGTCAATTTACAAATGTTACCGGTCAAATGACCGAGGTGAGAATGTTTGATTTTCTTCCTTCACTGCAGACAAGGATTCTAACTAAAAAGAGTAAAAAAGATGGTTGTAATTTTAGTCACTATCTATGAATTTAAGACTATTTATTATAAAATTCTGATCAATATTCTCTGTTTTTTATTGCAACCAAAACTTGAGGTTGGATTTCATATAAAAACAAAGACTATAAACATATACCGGTACTGCAGAACAAGATTAACTTTGTGTCATGAAGCTTCCACAGATAGAATTGTTTAGGACGGCCATTTTCATGGAAAGAAAGAAATTTTCATAAACAGCTAAAATTATGCATTGTGCTGATTGTGATTGATTCAATTAGACACAATCTACTGTTCAACACCTGGGTGGAGAGAAGCAATGTTGATAAATTGCCCAAGGGCACAAGTGCCGCGCCGGGGCTCGAACCAACAACCTCTTCATCCCAAGTCTAGGGATTAAACCACTCGACTATGACACCTCTACAAACATCTCAAATTTCTTTTGCTTAAAGCCCATCTGTACTAGTTTGGCCAGGGGAATTAGACCTCACTGCAAGGTCACTGACAGGTGGTTACCTCATCTAATCAGCTCTCAATTCACATAAGAAAAAGGGGATCATGGGGGACCAATGGTCACTGATTAGGAATTGTTTGCTATATAGAGGGCGCAAGTAGCTATAAGTAGTGCACTGGGGCTTTAACTCACCAAATGCTCTTGAGAGGTTGAGTCCCCCGTTGACCCTCCCGTCCGGCGTGACCTTCCCGCCTGCCTTCTCTATCCTTCTCAGCTCAACATCGTCCTCGGGCTTGTGATCGTACGACATGTCAAGGGCCACCCCGTCCCGCGACAGCACGCATCGTGAATCGCCGATGTTTGCGACGGTGAGTGTTTTTCCTCTGAGGAGCGCCACCACAGCTGTTGACCCGCTGTCACTGCCAGGCTGTAAAATAGAGACACAAAAAGAGAGAGATTGATTGGTTGATCAGGGTTATAAGAGAGAGCTGATTGATTGATCAGGGTTATCAGAGAGAGATTGATTGGTTCATCAAGGTCATTAGAGAGAGATTGATTGGTTGATCAGGGTTATCAGAGAGAGAATGATTGGTTGATCAGGGTTATTAGAGAGATTGATTGGTTGATCAGGGTTATAAGAGAGAGCCGATTGGTTGATCAGGGTTATTAGAGAGAGATTGATTGGTTGATCAGGGTTATAAGAGAGAGCTGATTGGTTGATCAGGGTTATCAGAGAGAGATTGATTGGTTGATCAGGGTTATTAGAGAGAGATTGATTGGTTGATCAGGGTTATAAGAGAGAGCTGATTGGTTGATCAGGGTTATCAGAGAGAGATTGATTGGATCTGTCCTTGTCCAAACCTGCCAACCTTTCACAGCAAAAATTAGGAATACAGTCTATGTTGTATATGTTTTTCACACAAATATTCAGAAAAGAGAGGAATCTAGGGTTCAAACCAATAGCTTGACGGCCCAAAATAGGAATGATTGGCAGCCACGAACTAAAGACATGAAAACAGTATCACATGAATTTCTATCAAATCTAAAACCAAAATATTTGTTGAGATATTATATTGAGAAGAGAGAAAGCCTCATCATTGAATTTCATGCACAGAAACGGTTTATAAAAATTAGACATTGATCATCACATGAGCCAATGAAGCGTCCGTTTGGAGCCAAAAGGGCCGTATCAATATTCTATCTCTTAACAGACGATATACATGTACCGTAATTAACGTTGTATAAACCGCCCTCGTATATATTTTTGTGTGTAAGATCATTGATGTAAATTAAAAAACAGTAGGGGGCCTAGGATAGAACCTTGTGGTACACCATGTAATAGAAGAAAAATTGGAGGAATTATTATTATTAACTACATATTGAGATCTATCAGAAAGATTACTTTCAAACCAAGATGACAGACAAATTTGAGTGTTGTTCTAGTTTCCGAGTGGTGAGTCAACACACCGGTCACCTAGCTGGGAGACATTGCCAGGCATAGCGCCAGGTAGAGGGGCATAAATCGAAACTTTAAAAAAAAAAAAATATATAATTGTGTACCGTGTATAAGCCGCACCCCCTGAATTTTTTTTCGGCGGCAGAAAGGTGCGGTTAATACACTGTTAATTACGGTAATAGGTATTTTAAAACAAAGAAAGAAACCTAACATGTTGTTACTTTATACTCAGAGATAGGTCAGAGCAATGTTATTAAAGAATGTGTTCTATACCCATATAGGTGTACAGGCCTCGAATTACATCAAATTTGGGTCAAGGCCACTTTTTTGAGAGGGCACAAATCCACTGAAAGGGGCACAAATCTATCCTAAGGGGCACTAAGGCCAACATGGAAAGTGCGCGTAAAATCACCTCACGCCGTTGTTTTCAAGGTGGGGGGGGGGGGATATGTGTACCCAGGGGCGGATCCAGGATTTCTTCCTTAGGGGGGGGGCCCACTTTTTTTTTTTGTCCCCCAAAAAAATCGCAACGACTCAGCCAGCCGCTGAATAAGCGGGGGGGGGGGGGGGGGGGGGGGGGGGGGGGGGGTAAGAGGACACTTTTTTGTCTCGAAATTTGAAAATTTGACATTTTGTTCCCTTTGGGGAGGGGTGGGGGGGGGGTGAGGTCACCTTTTTTAGATCAGCCATTGGCATAATTTTTTTGTGTGTGTGTGTGTGTTTCATTTGAAAAAAAAAAGGGGGGGGGTTTGCTTCAAAATACAGACATAAAAAAACCGAAGGGGGGGGGTTTAACGCCACAAACCCCCCCCCCCCCCTGCGTACGTGCCTGCTCGTCTGAATACAGTTCCCCTCCCTCCGCGCAAAGCGCGGAAGCTTTTACGTTTCATTAAATCATTAGAGAAAGAAGAGGATTCGTTGTTCCGTTTTTTACTCTTAATCCTCGTCTAAATTCATCGCCCCCCCTCCCCCGCAAAGCTCGGAAGCTTTTACGTTTCATTAAATCATTAGAGAAAGAAGACGATTCGTTGTACCGTTCTCGAACATAATCCTCGCCTGCATGAATACAGTTTTTTGTCTGCTCCTTTTTCTTCATACGTCCTCTTCCTTTTCTCTCCTATCTTTTTTTGGCTTTTTTTTTGGGGGGCGCCCCCACTGCCCCCCCCCCCCCCGGCTACGTGCCTGCGGTCAGATGAACATCTTTTGATACCTTGTTCGCCCCCGGAAACTCATGGGTTGAAGGCAAATTACGGTCAGATAAGCATTCAGGGGCCCGCCTCAGGGCCCCTGGTGGAGTCGAGGGTGCGGAAACCCCTGAATTTCAGGGGTTTCAGGCATTTGATTACGGTCAGATACTTTATTTGTGACACTGGCAGGACACTGATTGGTCTAGCGGGCGGAGCCCCCAGAAGATCAAGGGTTTTAGGCACTAAATTGCAGTCAGATGAGTATCAAGAGGCCTGCCAAAGGGCCCTTGGTTGGGTCCGGGGGCAGAGCCCTCAGAAGCTCAGGGGTCTTAGGCGTTTAATTACGATCAGATGAGCAATTTTTGATACCTTATTTTGTTGAGAAACTGGTAGTTAACTATTTTTTCTTTCTTGCTCTCTTTCTTTCTATTTCTCTTTAAAATGCTTTTCAAAAAAAAATTGGGGGGGGGGGAGTTGCCCCCTTTGACGTTTCATTGAATTATTAGAGAAAGAAGATGATTCGTTGTACCGTTCTTGACTCTTTATCCTTTTCTGAATTCCAAGGGAAGCGCGGAAGCTTAGACGTTTTTAATAAATTATTAGGGAAAGAAGACGATTCGTCTCGATCTCGACTACCGGTATTATCCTTTTCTGAACTCAATTCACACCCCTCCCGCGCGATGGGCGGAAGCTATGACGTTTTAATTAAAACGTATGGGAAAGAAGACGATTCTTTGTACCATTATCTCGACTCTTAATCCTTTTCTGATTTAATTCCAGACCCTCCTCCCGAGAAAAATCCAAGTTTTTCACTGATTAAAAACTGTGAAAACGCACCAAAAAAGGTCACAACGCGAAGTAAAGATGTTGAACCAACGATGGGTAAACAAAACTTCCCGATATTGATTGGTTCAAATAAAAAGGATGGATTGAAAAACTAAGCCTAAGTCATTACGGTTTTTGTGCCAAACGTTTCAGTCATTTGGATGAAGACATTCTTTCATATCTCCGTATCGGCAATTAAGTCCCGCCAATTAATTTAGAAGTTCCATAGTGGAAATTAAGTCTCGCCAATAATTATTGTTTTAGATCTCCGTAGGGGCAACAAAGTCTTGCCGATTATCATTGTTTTAGATCTCCGTAGGGGCAACAAAGCCTTGCTGATAGTTATTGTTTTTAGAGCTCCGTAGGGGCAACAAAACCTTCCAGTAATTATTGTTTTCAGAGCTCCGGAGGGGCAACAAAACCTTGCCGACTATTATTGTTTTTAGAGCTCCGGAGGGGCAACTAAACCTTGCCGACTATCATTGTTTTTAGAGCTCCGGAGGGGCTACAAAACCTTCCGGTAATTATTGTGTTTAGAGCTCCGGAGGGGCAACAAAACCTTCCGATAATTACTGTTTTTAGAGCCTCGGAGGGGCAACAAAACCTTGCCGACTATCATTGTTTTTAGAGCTCCGGAGGGGCAACAAAACCTTCCGGTAATTATTGTTTTTAGAGCTCCGGAGGGGCAACAAAACCTTCCGATAATAACTGTTTTTAGAGCCTCGGAGGGGCAACAAAACCTTGCCGACTATCATTGTTTTTAGAGTTCCGGAGGGGCAACAAAACCTTCCGGTAATTATTGTTTTTAGAGCTCCGGAGGGGCAACGAAACCTTCCGATAATTATTGTTTTTAGAGCCTCGGAGGGGCAACAAAACCTTGCCGACTATCATTGTTTTTAGAGCTCCGGAGGGGCAACAAAACCTTCCGGTAATTATTGTTTTTAGAGCTCCGGAGGGGCAACAAAACCTTGCCGATAAATATTGTTTTTAGAGCTCCGGAGGGGCAACAAAACCTTCCGATAATTATTGTTTTTAGAGCTACGGAGGGGCAACAAAACCTTGCCGACTATCATTGTTTTTAGAGCTCCGGAGAGGCAACAAAACCTTCCGGTAATTATTGTTTTTAGAGGTCCGGAGGGGCAACAAAACCTTCCGATAATTATTGTTTTTAGAGCCTCGGAGGGGCAACAAAACCTTGCCGACTATCATTGTTTTTAGAGCTCCGGAGGGGCAACAAAACCTGCCGATAATTACTGTTTTTAGAGCCTCGGAGGGGCAACAAAACCTTGCCGACTATCATTGTTTTTAGAGTTCCGGAGGGGCAACAAAACCTTCCGGTAATTATTGTTTTTAGAGCTCCGGAGGGGCAACGAAACCTTCCGATAATTATTGTTTTTAGAGCCTCGGAGGGGCAACAAAACCTTGCCGACTATCATTGTTTTTAGAGCTCCGGAGGGGCAACAAAACCTTCCGGTAATTATTGTTTTTAGAGCTCCGGAGGGGCAACAAAACCTTGCCGATAAATATTGTTTTTAGAGCTCCGGAGGGGCAACAAAACCTTCCGATAATTATTGTTTTTAGAGCTACGGAGGGGCAACAAAACCTTGCCGACTATCATTGTTTTTAGAGCTCCGGAGAGGCAACAAAACCTTCCGGTAATTATTGTTTTTAGAGGTCCGGAGGGGCAACAAAACCTTCCGATAATTATTGTTTTTAGAGCCTCGGAGGGGCAACAAAACCTTGCCGACTATCATTGTTTTTAGAGCTCCGGAGGGGCAACAAAACCTTCCGATAATTATTGTTTTTAGAGCTCCGGAGGGGCAACAAAACCTGCCGATAATTACTGTTTTTAGAGCCTCGGAGGGGCAACAAAACCTTGCCGACTATCATTGTTTTTAGAGTTCCGGAGGGGCAACAAAACCTTCCGGTAATTATTGTTTTTAGAGCTCCGGAGGGGCAACGAAACCTTCCGATAATTATTGTTTTTAGAGCCTCGGAGGGGCAACAAAACCTTGCCGACTATCATTGTTTTTAGAGCTCCGGAGGGGCAACAAAACCTTCCGGTAATTATTGTTTTTAGAGGTCCGGAGGGGCAACAAAACCTTCCGATAATTATTGTTTTTAGAGCCTCGGAGGGGCAACAAAACCTTGCCGACTATCATTGTTTTTAGAGCTCCGGAGGGGCAACAAAACCGTCCGGTAATTATTGTTTTTAGAGCTCCGGAGGGGCAACAAAACCTGCCGATAATTACTGTTTTTAGAGCCTCGGAGGGGCAACAAAACCTTGCCGACTATCATTGTTTTTAGAGTTCCGGAGGGGCAACAAAACCTTCCGGTAATTATTGTTTTTAGAGCTCCGGAGGGGCAACAAAACCTTGCCGACTATCATTGTTTTTAGAGCTCCGGAGGGGCAACAAAACCTTGCCGACTATCATTGTTTTTAGAGCTCCGTATGGGCAACAAAACCTTTTTGTACATTACAAGTCGGGTTGGCTTACGATGACTATAATGTCGGCAAAACTTTTGTGGATTAAAATATTGTGGCCGTAAACGGTTTGATTTTGAAAAGGGCATTCCGGCCAGTGAGAGGGGCATGGCGGCAAATTGCCGATTGCCGGTGGGTAATTCGAGCCCTGGGTGTATCCAAATATTGCAAACTTCTTTCCCCAACATTGACGTACTTGTACCTCTTCTTTTCCACCTGGCAACTGCATTCTGTAATCCTCCTCCTCCTCCTCCTCAAAATCACCACTGTCTTCTCCTTCTCCTAATTCCTCCTCCTCCTCCCCATCAAAGTCGTCCTCCTCCTCCTCCTCCTCCTCATCATCCTCTTCGTCCTCCTCCTCCTCGTCTCCGGACCGGTAGTCCTCGTCTTCCTCGTCGCTGTCGTCATCGTCGTCCAGGTATGGAGGAACGATCTGCTTGAGTTTACTCTCTGAACTCGTCCCTGAGGTGCTCGATCCTGTGCAGAAACAACATGGAGAGATACTTGTAAAATATAGCCAAAACCTGGGGGTGTTTAACAAAGATCCTAAGTTGAACTTATCTCTGAGTTGGACTTAACAATTATGGAAATCCGTTAAGCATCTATGAAAATATTTTGTAAAAATTATTTTAAAAGGCATAAAATGTTTATTCAAATATTTCATATTTTCTATTATCATGGGGGTTTCATGTTCTTGATGTGGTATTTATAAAAATTCTAAAATTCTTAAATTTTCGCTTTTTAATATATTTTATTTGAAGGCTACAAATGACTCTCTATAATGTTTATGTCCAACTTTTTTTTTTCTTTGCCTATGTTTATGTCCAACTTAGAATTAAGTTTGACTTAGGATATTTGTGAAACACCCCCCTGGGTCCTGTTTAATTTTTTTTTATCATTAAAAAATGCTAAATCTCTATGACAAATTTACTCTCAGCCAAACAAAGAATTTTGTCAAGCACATTGCGCACTACACGATGTGACCGAGATCTGATTTTAAGAAAATTTGCAATATTTGGCATTTCATATGGACAATGAAACATGTAAAACGTAAAATGACTGAGGATCTGAATAGTCATATGATTAATGAAATCTAATTTTCAAGGGATTTCATAATAATAATATTCTATTTTTATATAGCGCTCAATACATCGATCCAACGATGTGCCTAAGCGCTTTACAGATATATTATTACCCCGGTCATCGGATTCAGGCTTACCCGCACACAATGGGTGCACATTTTCCACTCCCTGGGGAGTATTCCAGCCAGTCGCCATTTTACATGCTTCTTTGGCTAAATCAGCTCAAAATCTTACTGATGTCAGACCAGTAGTGCGATTGTCTACGATTTGAAGCCGATTCAGCTTTTATTCAGACTATAAAAAAATTCTGGTTGTTATTGTTCTCATCATTATTTAGAGCCTCAATGGTAGTACAGAGGTTGTTTAGATTTCCATATCAAATATAACTGCCCTTTCAACAAAAATGAAATTGCAGGAGGATCCCGTAATGTGTACCTGGCTTTAAAGATAACGTTGAGTTCTGTTCATGCGATTGCATTGTGAAAGAAATGCTGTGGAATCGATCAGAAAAGGTTGATCATCTAGCATATAAGTATTGGTGTGTACTGCAAGGTTCTGGAACCATCAAAATGATAAGAAATTTGCCCAATTCTTGGTAAAGTTACAAGCACTGTACACAGAAAGATGTATATGGGACTACAATAACATGTGGCGTAAAAATCTGTCCTGATTTTTATGATGTTACATGCCATATTTAGATTAAAATTGCATTTGAACAGCCATGTTTTTCAGGGAACATTTTTTCTCTGATGTTCTTCCACACTTGCTTAAAGATGAAGTTGAGTTGTGGTCATGCGATTGCATTATGAAAGAAACGGTGTGGAACCGACCAGAAAAGGTTGATCATCTAGCATATAAGAATGTGTGTGTATTTCAAGGTTCTGGAATCATCAAAATGATAAGAAATTTGGCCAAGTCTTGGTAAAGTTACAAACACTTGCACAGAAAGATGTCTATGGGACTACACGAACACGTGGCGTAAAAAGCCGGCCCCCGATTTTTACGATGTTACATGCATATTTAGAATATGAAGGCATTTGAAGAGCCATGCTTTTCAGGGAACATGTCTTAACTGATGTTCTTCCACACTTGCATAATAAGAATGAGTAATGCTCACAAATTATTTTTCACCTCTTCCCACAACTCAACCTTCTCTTTAATACTATGATAACATTCACAAATAATTTTTCACCTCTTCCCAGAACTCAACCTTCTCTTTTAAAGTACTCTCACCTGATTCTTTGGTATCGCTGTGCTGTACATTGCCGTTATGGCTCCCTGAGTTTTCAGACGTTCCTGCTTCGTCTTTGACTTGTGTTTTCGCCGACCCCTCCCTCTTCTCCGATGCCCCATCTCCTTTTCCCATCTCCGTTACCTCCTCCTTGACCTTGACCTCGCCCCCTTCCTCATCAACATCATCATCATCACTGTCCGTGCCATTCTCCCCTTCCCTTCTTTTATCCCCATCGGGCCCGTTAACACTGTCCACATTCTCATCCTCATCCCTCTTTCCTTTGGCAACAATATCCCCCTCCTCGTCGAATGGAACAGTCTTGTTTGGCACAGGCCCATCCCCGTCTTGGAGCGATCCATTCACAGCTGTGAGGGGGAACCTGGGTTGTTTCTTCTGGATCATGGGGGAGAGGAGGTCGGCCCCGTGGGCCTGCTTGATCATGGCTCGTTTGTTCTTGGACGGCTGGGAGCAGTAGCGGGCGACCAGTTGTTCCAAAGGAAGCTCTGCCTCTTCCAGGAGTGTCTCTGTCTCCCCATCCTCTGGAATGCATTGAATCAAATTAAATATAAAAATCAACGATCAGGGTAATCAATCTGAATCAAACAAAACTCATTATAAGACGGAGCCTTCTGATTTCTTTCAACGGGGATAACTAAATATAGTTATGAACCATGTCAGATGTTGTATAATATCAATAACTGCAATTATTTGATATCCACATATTTATAACATTTCTTTTTTAATCAAAAAAGCTCAAGTTTGTCCAAGCCTGTCAACTTACAGTATGTCAAATCCAGGAGTCTTTTATTTTAGACAATATTCCTAAAACAATAATAACCACTCTTCTCCGTTAGGGCATGTGTTGAAGGGTAGTAGTCATGGGGAGTGTTTCACAAAGACTAAGATCGACTTTAAGTTGGACATAAATATGGCAGGCTGTTATTCGTGCCACTGTTTGCTCTCACCATAATGATCTTTAGATAATATTTTTTCCTTCAATAATGAATTATCAACAAATATAAATTCTTTAGATTTGTGACCATGATTTGTATGTCCCTTGAGAAACCGATGCCAGAAAATGGTGAGAGCAAACAGCGGCATGAATCATGGCCTGCCATAGTGAAGTCCAACTTAAAGATAAAGACCAGTTATGGTCATGCGATTGCATTGTGAAAGAAACGGTGTGGAATCGATCAGAAAAGGTTGATCATCTAGCATATAAGTATTGGTATGTACTGCAAGGTTCTGAAATCATCAAAATGATAAGAAATTTGGTCTTGGTAAAGTTACAAGCACTGTACACAGAAAGATGTATATGGGACTACGCGACACATGCGTTATATGTATCAGGTCCAAATAGATATAATAATGTACCAAATATATAAATTAGCAGGCGGTTTTTCTGCAAAATTTGTATGATCACGTATTAGTCAAAACATATTCTTCCACATGATTGGTAATAAGAGCTTCCATTTCATTTTTTTGAGAGGGGGGCATTTCCAAAACTGGTCTTTACCTTTAAAGTCGATCTTAGTCTTGGTGAAACACCCCCCCCCCCCCCCCTTTGACACATACCTTCTTTCTCTTCGCCCTCTTCCATGCCTGCTATCCTCCTGAGCTTCTCTATGATTGCTTTCTGTTTGAGAGATGCATCAAAGGTCATGAAGGCTTCTTCAAATGCAGCATCAATGTCACCGTCCTTGAAGGATTTTAGGTTTGTGAGTAACTTTGGAAACTGTTGAGCTGTGTACACTGCGACCTCAGCACCTGCAAAGTTGATACTAAACAATTAGAGAGACAGAAGAAATGGCTTGGACACATTGAGGGCATGATGAGGGCTTGATGCTCAGAGTTATAGAAGGTCGTATTCGTGGAGAGAAGAAGAGGGGAAAGGCTTTTTAGACGAATTAATCACAGAATGTGGAGCAACAGGGTATGAAACCCTGAAGCAGATGGCTCAAGACCGAGGAACTTGGAGAAACACTTAATATAGAATGTTGATTGGGTCACTGAAGTGAACCTGTCATAAACTGACAGATCACTATTGATGATGAATAGGCATTTATATAGCACCGTCTATCTGGACAATTCTATTAACATATTATTACCCCGGCTTTAGCCTAGCTGCCATTACGGCGCTCTAGCAATTCAAGGAATAAAGTCCTGCCAGGTACCCATTTACCTCACCTGGGTCGAGTGTAGCAAATGTAGATTAATGTCTTGCCAAAGGACATTAGTGCCGTGGCGGGACTTAAACCGCAGACCTTGTGATCAACAGTCCGGTAACATACATTACATGTATCCACTCGACCACGACACGTCCTCATATATTATATGAACCTGGATTCTCTTGTGTGAGAGTCGTGAGCCTTCACCAATATACTTTATACTACACAGCCAATTAAGTCAATAAAAGTAAATGTACTAAGTAATTAATGGTAAAAAGGATACAGGTATTTATGCTTGAAGAACATTGCTTGCAAAGGAAGGAGTGAATGGAGAGGAACGAGAACCAATGGATAAAGTTTGAAGTTATATAGGGAGACAGAGATATAGAGAGAGGGGAGCGAGAGAGGGAGAGGAGGGGGAAAGGGAAAGGGAGAGAGAGAGGGGGAAGAAAGGGAGGGAGAGAGAGACAGACAAAGAGAGAAGCAGAGAGAGAGAGAGAGAGAGAGAAGTTGAGAGAGAGAGAGAGAGAACATAATGGTAATTCGATTCTTGAGGTACCTGTATCTACATAATTCTTTGCCCCCATAAACCAAAGTACTTATACCTTGTTGCCTTGATATAGAGCTCAATTAATCAAAGAATGACCCCAGTATCACATTTCAGATGATTAGGGGATTTCCCTCAGTAATTAATTAGGTATTGTTATTGGCAAGAGGCCTACAACATGCCTACATTAACATGCACATTCTTTGTTGTGAACAACACAAAGAATTTTGTTGGGATGGCAACAGCCTTGAAATGTATTAGAAGACTATTCGTGTGCAATTCCACAAAGACAAGACACACAACAAAAATCTGATAGCTTTCATAACCTAATTTTAAAGAGAAGGTTGAGTTCTGGGAAGGGGTGAAAAACGATTTGTGAGCGTTATCATTGTTATTATGCAAGTGTGGAAGAACATCAGATAAAACGTGTTCCCTGAAAAGCATGGCTCTTGAAATGCCTTAATATTCTAAATATGTCATGTAACATTGTAAAAATCGGGACGGATTTTTACGCCACGTGTTCGTTTAGTCCCGTATACATCTTTCTGTGTACAGTGTTTGTAACTTTACCAAGACTTGGCCAAATTTCTTATCATTTTGATGATTCCAGAACCTTCCAATACCACGAATACTTATATGCTAGATGATCAACCTTTTCTGAACGATTCCACACCGTTTCTTTTAAAATGCAATCGCAAGACCAGAACTCAACTTCATCTTTAATCATGAATGCCAACAAATGCAGTGGAGTGATCAGTCTAAAAAACTATCTTGATATGACTTATATTTGTTATGTTTTGCCAAGGAGTAAATGTCATGTGCTTGTGCAGTGTTTCTTCTGTCAAGAACAAAGAAGTTTTTGAATGTTAAAGGGACTTGGTAACATTGTTCAGATGAGAGATAGTGGTGCTATGGTAGTGACTTCAATACTAGATGGACAATTAAAGATAATCTGAAAATTTGAGTGAAAACGGACCATTATTCATGAAACAAATTGGAAAAAACTGATCTGATCTGATTCCTTAATTCTCCCATCTACAAGTGTATATTATTACAATTTAATTACATTTTAGGTGAATGGAAATCTCACAAAGCAATAAAATGGCTCTACATTCCATTCCAGACATTTAAGTGTTGACAGATTTTTGATAGCCTGTTTTATGTCTTTTTTTCATGGAAAAAATGGTTGGAAAAATTCAAAAATGGTTGGGAGAATTTACTATTAATCACTGTTAGCAGGGTTCTTGTTAATTTTTCTGATAGCAGGCTATTTATGATTTACAGGAGGCTACTAAAATTGCAAAAGAAAAATCTCTGTGCGCGTAGCGCACATCACCATGTGCGCGAAGCGCACATCACGAGCGCGAAGCGCGAAGTCCCTTGCGGCCGGGGTCCAGGGCCCGCCCAAGGGCCCTGGAAGCTTTAGGGTTTTAGATGCTCTCTGGTGCTATCTTAGCCTTATTTTTGAAGATATGACCACACTGTATGAGCCATAGTTTAATGATAAAGATCATGAATATTTTGGCTGAATAACTTACTTTTCATATGATATACAATATGAAATGAAAATGCTCCATTATAGTTTCTGATAAATCAATCATATTTGTGATGAATCTACAATTTTGAATTACATGATAATGATACAAGGTAGTCCTGGGCAAAAACGGTTAACTGACGTTTACAGGACCTTGTCAGTGAAGAAAATCGTTGTAATCTTTGTAATAGATCTCAATATGTAGTTTATAATAATAATTCATCCAACTTTTACACACGGCGTACCACAAGGTTCTATCCTAGGTCCTCTACTGTTTTTAATTTACATTAATGATCTTACACATTCTTCTAAATGTTCTTTTAAATGAAAGTCCTTCCCGCGTGGATTTTTTTCACAGTCGGTCAACAATAAAAAAAAAAAAAAAAAAAAAAAATTTTTTTTTTTTATTTTTTTTTATGGTGCCGACAGCCGGCTACGATTGCCGTTACAGCCGGAAAAAATAGCCGGTTGCCGGCTATTAACAAGAACCCTGTGTTAGAGGGTGTCGTACATCGACGCCTTCAAAGAAAACCATAGATATCTTTGTGGTTTGAGAATTTTTTCAGGATTTTTTTCATGTCAGAGGGTTACGTTAGTACAGTAGAAGGAATATAGTAAGTAACATTTTATACAAAAATTAAGCATTTTTTTCATCAAACTTCAACAATGTTACCAAGTCACTTTAAGAAGTGTTATGAGTTAATTTTTTTAATTTTTTTTCCCCAGCAGAATTAATGGCCTACACATGATAGTTTGAACACTTCATATGAAGCTATGGTCACAAATCAGAGCAGCGACCGACCGATCAGTAGCCTGCTCGGTCGCTGCTGGAATTAGGCATCGCCCAGCGATTAGGTCGGTGCCCGGGCGGCGACTGCCCAGGCACCGAGCGTATTTTGGGCGGCGAGTGAAAAGTGAGCAGGCGCCGCCCAAATTTTAACTCCGCGCTAAAACTTCAGCAGCGACCGAGCGATGCCCTAAAAACGAGCGGTGCCTGGATGGCAGCCGCCGGGCAGAATTGGTTAAAAACTCGCCGCTTGGCCGCCGAGCAGTCTACTTTTGGGTAATGTGACCATAGCATTAGGGACAAAGTGTTTGGTGTCTGTTTGGTCACACCAAAGCCAAGAAATAAATTCCTAACAGGTCCCCATTTACTTCACCTGGGTAGAGTGCAGCACGATGTGGATGAATTTCTTGCTGAAGGAAATCAACGTCACGGAGTGGGATTTGAACCCGCGACCTTATGATTGAAAGACGAGAGTCAGAACCACTTCACCATGACGCTTCTGTAGTCGATAGCATACACTAACCGAATGCGTAACTGAATCGATACATACACGAGGACATGTACCTCATCCTAACCACAACCCTAACCCTTACATACTACCAAATGGCAACCCTGCACCTTTAATATCCTACATCTTTGACAGAATAATGGCCTAACCCAGAGATTGACTAAAAAAAAACAGACTATGTATCCTAAATTTTTTTTGAAGAAAATCAGATTTTGGAGAGAAAAATCAGATTTTCACGAAAACTTGACACTACCACTGGCCCGTCGGCCCCAGTCCAGTAAAATTTCAGAAAAATGTTTGCTCTTTCATTAAACTTTAATGAGAAATTGTAAAGCTAAGTTTTTGTTGGGGTTGCGGGGGTTTACTTGTACATGTTTCTATGCGATTCTGCTGTTTTTATGGGTTTACAAAAAACAACAACAAAAACAACTATTTTTTAAAAATGTTGTTGTTGTTGTTGTTGTTGAAAAAAAAGATCAAAAATTATTGTTTAAGATTGTATTTCACTCTTATTATCGTACTAAATACGATTTAATTGTACTGGTTGGCATCTCTGCGTAACCATAACCCTGCATCTTTTATATCTGTAAAGCGCATTGAGAGGGCCTGCGGTCCTGAAATGCGCTATATAAGGACAAACTATTATTATTATTTATTATAGGAAAGCAGCCCAGAGCAAATGTCACCAGAGAAAATGTCAGCACACTGTATTAAACAAAGATGTTCACATATTACATACCTCCATGGCCATCATAGACTGCAAACAGTGATGTGTCTTCTGTGAGCTTGGTGATGCAGTTGTGAGAGTCCTGTAATAGCAGAAAGGACGGAGAGAGAGAGAGAGAGAGAGAGAGAAAAGATAGACAGATAGATGGAGAGAGAGAGACAGAGAGAGATATAGAGATAGAGAGGTATCGAGAGAGAGATGGAGAGAGAGATAGAGAGGGATCGAGATCGAGAGAGAGGGATCAAGAGAGAGGGAGAGAAAGAGAGAGAGAGAGAGGGAAGAGGAGGAAAGAGAGATAGGAGGAAAGAGAAAGAAAGATAGACAGATAGATGAAGAGAGAGAGAGATATAGAGAGATATATAGATAGAGAGGGATCAAGAGAGAGAGAGGGGGGAGGAAGGAAAGAGTGAGGGGAAGTGGGGGAAGTGGTGAAAGAAAGGCGGAATGGGGGAAGGGGGGGGGGGGGGGAGGCAAGTCAAGAATACAAGAAGGTAATAAAGGGAAATGGAATGAGGGGAGGATTAAAGAAGTAGAGAAAGTGAGAGAGGTAGAAGAGGATGGAGATACATGTCAGTGGTAGGAAAGAGAAAGACACGTAGGATAGGCAGGAAGGAAAGAGATAGAAAGACGGGCAGAGAGAGTGAAGGAGATAGAGTGTGAAAAACCGAGGAGATAAAATTGTAAGGCAAAGGAGAGACAATAGAGAGAGAGAAGGATGAACAGAATTGACAGATAAGGAAAACAGAAAAAAGCACGAGAAGTATACAAAAGTGGCAGAAAGTGAATGAGAAAGAAAACAGATAAATTGAAAGCAGAAAGAAAAGAAAAAAATTGACAGGAGTGAGAGAGAAAAAAGAAAGACTGTTATAAAATTGCAATAAATACACCATAAACGTTATATATTCTATTGAGGAGAGGAAGAAGATTTGCCTTTAAAAATCAAATTCAGAGATGGACAAACGCTGATTTTCAAACATGTTTTCATTAGAATTGACATCTGTTGTATGTAACTTGTATGTATCTTTCAGTTTCTTTCCAATTTCACTACATACAATGTACATGTACACATGAATAAACAGTATCAAGCCGATCCATCATAATGCGCATGTATACATATACAGAAATGTACAGTACATGTATGATTGTATTGATTATGTCTTTCAAGTCTCGTTTCCCTTTAAGCGCCCACAACTTTGAACAAAATATGTGCATATCCACTGAAGTCGAAGTTTCAAATAGGAGCTTTTTTATCATGCATAAAAAATGTATTGGCTTTTGATTGGTTGAGAGCTTGTCCCGTGACCAGAAATATTTCATCTATTTTAAGGTTTCTCTGAAAAAGTACTACCGTATTTGCCGGCGATAAGGCCGCAGCGCCGTATAGGCCGCACCCCCGATATTTACATTAAAAAAAAAAAAAAAACAACAAACTTTTGCTAAAGTTGGGATTCGATCTCTTGCGTACAAATGCTGATGTGACTAAAATCACCGCCTTAAACCGCTCGGCCATCACGCACTGATACCATACACTGCAGTTTTCTGTGATGTAGTCATTGAAATGGACTGAAAATAGCGACTTCGCGTGCTGGATGCTTCGCGGCAGCTCCGATAAACGGGCCCTTCTTTTACTTTTGCAATGCATTGGCACAAATTTAGATCAAAATCTATCGGCAGATGTTGTTTATGGAAGTTTATTTTCGTCTTCATGTCAACAAAGCAAGATGAAATTGTCGGCAAGATGTGTGGAAATGAAAATTTATTGTACCGTTCGTAGATCTAGTCCTATATGTACAAATTCGGGCTGGTTTTTTTCTTTTTTTTTCTGTTTCGCCGTAAAGGCCGCACCCCGACTTTTTTGATATTTTCTCTTCCAAAAATACTGTGGCCTTTACGCCGGCAAATACGGTCTATGAGAGTACTATTTGGGATTTGAAAACAAAATGTGATTTTTTTTTTTTCAAATCTTAATTTCATAAAAAAAAAATATTTTAAATTTTGTTTTGATAAAATTTGACATTTTTAAAATTCTAAATTTTAATTTTTTCCCAAAATAGGATTTTTTTAAATTTCAATTTTTTTATAATAAATTTTTGAAGCAGGATATAAAACGAATATACCATGCCTTCTATTCGAGGTACTGGTTTAAAACTATGGGCCTCGGTGACTCCAAAGTACCATTTGGCGTTAAAATCCGTCCTGATTTTTACGATGTTACATGCCATATTTAGAATATGAAGGCATTTGAAGAGCCATGCTTTTCGGGGGGCATGTTATATCTGATGTTCTTCCCACTTGCATAATAACCTCTTCCCAGAACTCAACCTTCTCTTTTAATGATAATCATTTCTTCCATAAACTCTGTGCCCCTTCCCCTTCCCCTGGCTGCAACTTCCGCCTGGGCTTCACCGCCCCTTCCTCATTCCCATGTGGCACCCTAGCCTTGTACCTACATGTAAGCCCTACACCTACCCCCCCCCCCCCCCCCCTCCTTCCTCCATTTCCTCTCTGTCATCGAAGGCCTAATTCCTGGGGCCCGTTTCACAAAGCATTTTTTCAATGACAAATGAGAAAAAATCAGCAAGAAATTTGCCGATTTTTCCAATCAGAAGCAAGAATTTCAGTAGCTTATAATAACAAAAACTGTCATTTGTCATTGGTGACAAGTTTTGTGAAACACCCCCCTGGACATATCATGGTCCATAGCGATTGACTGGACTGGAGTCACTGGACCCAGATTTGGCCTTCGTTCAACCAGGGACGTGATAGAGAAGGACTGGAATCAAGCCGCTCTCCTTTGACCCCATGCTCCAAGCCACCGAAAAGTTATGCGCTAATCTGCAACTGTTGACCAGGTGGTGAGATAAAAGAGCGTATGAATTTCAGGATTTAGAATTCCTACATCAGAAAATGGTATCACAGCAACTGTTTGCTGTCCCTTTCAATGATTTCTCATCCATTGTTAAATGTGTAAAGAGTAGAACAAGCGAACACAAACTTGTGTCATTTCATCCTTTTTTTAAACTTAAGCAAACTTATTGTTATTAAAGATTGTAAATCATCAAATAACGGGACATTAAAACATGCACAAATTACCGCATAATCCTAAACTATTGAGTTTTTGTCAGGATGTAATTTATTTTTACCAACTTTGGCACACAAATTATAGAAAGGACAGAGTTCTAAATTTGAAAATTTGTTTGATGCACTATTCCCAATATAATACATGTTATGGTACCCATATTCCTTACAGACACCTGCAAGATACTCAATTTTTCAGATTTGGGTAGCGGGACCGCCGATTACATCGCTAAAATGTGATATTTAAGGATATATTTTCCATTGCAAATGTGGTTCTTCAGTGACTTTGCCATTAAGGCTGTGCACAACAGTGTAATGAGGTACCCGAGTACACTCCCAGGCATAGAAGTGAATACTCGAATATTCGGACGCCATGTTTTTTTGAATTTTTTTGAATTTTTTGATTTTTTTGATTTTTGATTTTTTGCCACCACCATACCACTGGAGCAGTATCCCAAGTCCCTCGCCGAAAACGCATGCAATTTTACTACAAGTCGCAGTTGAAGGCGTTGATTTAATAACAATAATAACAGTAAACAATGCTGTTTTAAAAACCAAAGATGGCAGAATAATCCATTTTCCTCCGAGTCCAAACAGAAATCGGGACATTTGGTCCCAGTTTCTGAGTGGTGAGTTTGACAGTGCTTGAGTTGGGAAACATTTTTACCGACGGTACCATGCCAGCGGCCGCCGCTCTCCCTGGAACGGTTAAGCGTCGGCCTAGACAGTGCCAGGTGACCAGGATTTTTTTTTTGCGGCCGAATATTCGAGTACGAGAAATCGTACTCGAGTAGTTGTCAACCGTGCGGGCACTCGAGCATTCAACTGCTCGTCGCAGCCCTATCTGCCATGTTGTTATTTGTGTGTGATATGCTGTTATACCTTGAATACCTTGAATACCAAAGCTTCTGGAAGAAAGCCGTCTCCAGCTGCCAAGCTTCAAGGTCTAACTTCAAGGGGGGGGGGGGATGTCCCAGCTTCCAGGTCTTGCACCATAGCCATTTTACATCTGTATCTTGCTTGCTGGGTCACATCAGGATTGTCATAATTGGAGAGTGTCAACTGGGAGAAGGGTGAATGATATTGCTCCTTCTTCCAGTGTTTGTCAAGTCTGGCTTTAAAGCTGTTTACCGAGGTTGCAGATACTACCAACTCAGGGAGGGGAGTTCCAGTCGTTGAGGACCCTGTGGCTAAATGAGTCTTGCCTGAGTTTGGTGTTGCACCTGGGTTTGGTCAGTTTGAAAGCATGCCCTCTCGTTGTTGAATTGATTGCAGATGTGAAGATTGGGTAATGGGTAGATTCCAAACTGTCAATGTTCTGCATCAACTTGAACACCTGAATCATGTCTCCTCGGCGGCGGCAGTGGCTAAGTGAGGGAAGCTTCAAACTCTCAAGTCTCTCATGGTAGCTTGGTGTTTTATCTCTGGTACCATTTTTTGTTGCTCTTTTTGTACTTTCTCTACATAGCGAATGTGCCAGATTACATTGTCATATTCCAATATGGGACAAACAAGACCTCTATAGAGTAGTGGAATTGTTGATCTGTCCTTGCAAGTGAAAGATCTACGTATGCGAGCTAGTACTCCTTTTGCTTTTCTGGTAGCAATAGCAGATTGTTGATGAAATCTGAGCTTCTCGTCAATGACAACTCCAAGGTCCTTTTCTTCTTTGGTTTCTGGGATCTTTACACTGTCTAGCTCATATTCCCTTTGTGGATTGCCTGCCCCTAGGTGCAGGGTCTTGCATTTCTTTGCATTGAAGTGGAGCTGCCATTTCTCTGACCATCCCTCAAGTTTCTGTACGTTTCTCTGCAGGGTGGTGTAGTCTACCTCAGACGTTGCTTTGCCATACAGTTTGGTGTCATCTGCAAAGATTTTGACTACTGCCTCAATCTCGTCAGGAAGGTCGTTTATGTAGATGACAAATAGAAGAGGTTCGAGCACGCTCCTTGTGGTACTCCACTGGTGACTGGGGTCCAATCTGACATGTTGTGCAATGTATTTTAAAGGGATTTTACCAGGCATCCAGCAGACCGGCCGAAAACTGCCGATGGCTGATTACCCCCTCCTTTTACTCTAGAAATCTACGCGTAATAAAATAATACCCCAGTTAACCATCTACATTTAGGTCGTCCGTCTTCCTGAAGATTTATCGTTCAAGGAGCACCATCGCGGAATCCGTTTTTTCGTATCTTTAATGCGTGGATTGAAAATAGGGATTGTCCACGAAAATGCGGACAATCCTTACTTTTAAGGACCAGCTACATCATGTAGGGAGTCTGATCGCGCACCCAATGTTATGTGCTAAAATGCTCCCCATAGAGATTGCACGCATCCCCATGTGGTCTACGTGCATTGCGCGACCATGCAAAGCTGGTCAATGATTTTATTGTAATGATATGGATATTCTCGTGTTTACGTTTCCTCAAAGGTTCATTGACGTACATGTACAAGGCAAATTCCTGGTAGATTTCGCTAGAACTATGTTTACAAACATACATGGTGAATTCCTTGTATGCTATTTTTAACACCTGTTCCGAGACGTTGCGCTCTTAATTTGGCTCTACTTTTTCGGCTTGGCCGATTGGATTAGGTGTCGCTGGGCGTGTCGCCACAGTTGACTTAAATTTAATTAGGCAAATTTAGGAAATAGATTTGTATTACAATTGGAAGGGTTTTTCCTTGTTGCCGGGTCTGTTCACACTATCGAAATAGTATGAGAGGGGAAGTGAGGATTACAGGTGTGTAATAGCCAGAAGCATGTGGGCTCGCTAGTGTGGACGGACATAGCAACATTTATCCCTTGTTATATTCCAGGGTTGTTGGGTCTCGGGTGATTTGCATCTCTTGTTTGAGAGATTAGAATGTAAGAGACACAGGTGGGTGCGTGAAAGAAGTATGTGAGGAATAGAGATGCGGATCATCCGGAGCGCCTTATATCCGAGGGGGTAAATTCGCCAAGAAATATAGGACCTTTTAACACGGAAACTAATTATAAGTGGATTGATATTACGCAAAGCGTCTGTGTGACACGCCTCAATTTTTGGAAGGACGAGGCGTGTCAGTTCGGGGGGATAAAAACCGAGTTGCGTCTCTGGAGCGGGACCTCTTTTCCGTTACGATCGACATGAGTTGCTAATCTGTTTCGATTGGGTTGCCCAGCCCCAAAACATGAACTTCGTGATTTATTAATTCTTCGTTTATTTTAATAAATCTTCAACTCCAATCAAGAATTTGTTTCAGTGACTTTGATTTATCTTCGTTTTCTACACTTCAAGAACTAAAGCTATACTTTAACATTTTCTGAGTCGGTACTAGGCGGGGCGGTTTTGGCCACCGGGCCGTCTCGCCGTGGATCGCTTCAATTGGTAGTACGGATGGGGTAAGACACTTGTTTATCACTTCAACCATTACCATTGAACTTCAAGATATATTAGCGACGTCAGCGGAGAGCTGCAGAGATTTTTGTTAGCTCACATCCGTCAACTAGTTATATGTGGATCTGTTGGGGTTGTCACGAGGACGGAGTCCAAGAACCCCTGGGCTTCGAACTAACTTTTTTTTTTTGTCGGCCGCTCAGCATCGAAGAGTATTGAGAGGAGTGAAATTTTCTTCTGCTGGTGGTTTCCTGACGAGGGGGCCCAGGAGCTTATTTCCGCAGAGCTACAGCGCGACGAAGCGACGGTGGAAGCGTAGCTGGTGATTCTTTTATGCTGGGAAACGGTAGTACTTTAGGGCCGCGTGGGTGTCATCTTGAGGGGGCTCGCTGCGCTTGTGTCAGCGGGGAGGTGATATCGTCACTTCATTCATGGTCGGCGGCACATGCCTTCAGTGTTGCATGCTTGCATCGTTCCGGTGAATTAGAAGGCCGCGGTGCCGGGAAACTAGGTACGTTCAGCTGGTCTCGTAGCTGGTCTACGGTTTTCTGCGTAGCCTAACGGTTCGTCCTGTGATCTCCGTAGACGTGAAATCTTGCAGTCAACTACATCGACGCGACACAACATCATCGCCATCGAGAGGGACTACAAGACTGTGTATCTACGGCGATCTAAGGCGTGTTCAGACATCATCTAGGAGGGAGTATTTCTGAGGGTGACGGATGCAGGCAGCGGATTGACATCTCTGGTATGTCTTGAACTTAGAACACTTTATCTATATATGATAATTGATTCTATGCTTGTTGCGTATGGCATTATATACAATTAGATACATCTTTTGATGTATACCATTATTCAGAACATTTAGTGTATTATCTGACGGCATAATTCATTAATTGACTGGTAAATTTATATAATCCTTGTAAACGAGAACAGTAGTGAAGGTGTGTTTTTTTCATATATACATATGGTAACTAAGAATATGGTTCTGGTTCACTCTGGCTCGCCTACATGTAGTATACATCTCTTCCAAAAATTAAGGTAAGCAGTATTTAGGGGTTTTATACTATATATGGTAACCCGAGGTTGCACCCCTTGCCTTAATGTTCATATTAGACTAAGTATTTAATAATATTACATTAGATAATAATTATGGCTGAAGAGTTAGTTAAAGATTTGGTAACGGGTTTTACCGAAGCCCTACAGGGTATCCGGATTACACCTACTGGTAGGACAACCGCTAGGTTGGATAGATTTTCAGGGCAGGGTGGTATGTTATTAGAAGATTGGTTAGAAGAGGTGGACCTTTATTGTGAACAGTCACAAATTTCAGAGACCCAAAAGGTCAGTGTGATCAAGGCTCATTTGGAGGGGCCGGCACGTAAAGAGTTGCGATGTTATTCTGAAACACTAGATACAAATCAAATAGTTACTATTTTGCAGAACCACTTTGGTAAGAGACAGACTGTACAGTCTCTGCAACAGGCCTTTTACGATCGTAATAATATCAATCCTCATCTGTTAAAGTACCAATTAAATATTTGTAGTTCCCCTG